CATTCTCCTGCCTCAGCCTCCTGAGTAGCTAGGACTATAGGCGCCCGCCACTGCGCCCGGCTAATTTTTTGTATTTTTGGTAGAGACAGGGTTTCACCATGGTCTCGATCTCCTGACCTTGTGATCCGCCCGCCTCGGCTTCCCAAAGTGCTGGGATTACAGGCGTGAGCCACCACGCCCAGCAATTTTTTCCATTTTTAGTAGAGACGGGGTTTCACTGTGTTGGCCAGGCTGGTCTCGAACTCCTGACCTCAGGTGATCCACCCACCTCGGCCTCCCTAAGTGCTGGGATTACAGGCGTGAGCCACCGCCCCCAGCCGCAATGTGAAATCTTGAATGGGATCCCGGAACAGAGAAAGACTATCAGGTAAAAACTAAGAAAATGTAAATAAGCGATAGACTTTAGCTGAGAATCTGTCACTATTTGTTCATTAATGGTAAGAAATGTGCCATAGAGCCGGGCGCGGTGACTCAAGCCTGTAATCCCAGCACTTTGGGAGGCCGAGACGGGCGACGGGCGGTTCACAAGGTCAGGGATCGGACAATCCTGGCTAAGCACAGTGAAACCCGTCTCTTACTAAAAAATACAAAAAAACTAGCGGGCGAAGGAAAAGGCAAGGTTGCAAGCGGGGCCGCGCCAGTAGGAGTCAACAGCTTACTTCGGACCGATTGGGCTGAGATGGAGAATGGTGTAAGACCCGGGGAGGGGGGGCTTGCAGTGAGCTGGTCCGGCACTCGCTCGGCTCTCGAGGGACTCCGCACTCAAAAAAAAAAAAACAATATAAATAAAAAGTAAAGAATAAAATAATATAAAAAAAAAAATGTGCCATAGTAATTGATCAGGCTATAATGTATAACTCCTGGGTGATTGTGCAAAAACTGAAGGTGAAAGGAGGTAGCCAGATAGCTGAGAACTCTGCTGCAGACTCGCAGTCATTCTAATCTTTTTTATGATTTTGTTGGTAGAATCATAAAAAGTATATGATAAAAATATATCTAGTTATGAAAATGACGAAAAAAAATCACCCAGGGTGTGGGTACCCCTGGATGTTTCATCCATTAACTGATACCAGCCGCTCCAGCGGTGTCACTGTTACTGAACCCTGGAGAGACCCTATCCTATATCGGGCACCGATAGCACCTGCTTTGTTCGCGTCCATAGTGGTCAATAGACAGAGCATCAGGTAGTATTATGAGACCCCAGTTTTTCGTCTCTCTCCTCAGTACAGTGGGTGTTTTATAGCATCAATACAAGCAGAATCAGGTGAAGCGTCATGGGGATATAGGC